TCATTTATATTTGTGTGAAGCGACGACAAAATACCACCAGACCTTCCTATGGTTATTTTTTTACCATCCAGATAGTATTCTCGGGAGTCTGGGTGTGTCTTTGCCTTTCTGCGCTGGGTTAGGGATAGGCTGGCAGTAATTGCTCCGTAGAAAAGGTTCCCAGAAGTCAGTCAGATATTGGCATTTTGGCCCACTGTCCTCTTCCAGGTCTTGCTGTAATTGTATTTACAAACACGAGGTGCCTCAGGAGGGCAAGCATGTCCCAGCTCCTTTGAAGTTCTCTATTCAGGGGGAATAAGGTGCAGCCATAGGCAAATATTTTGACCAAAAAAAAAAAGCATGAATTGCTTCTCCTTCACAAGAACACTTGGCATGCCTGTTTTTCCTCAGCAAACATTTTCACTGGATCTGGTTGCTAAATCAGAGAGAGGCACAAAAAAAAAGAGGAGGAAGCTTCTTTGCAAGCGAGTCCCCAACAAACCCATGTAAATCGTCTCAGGGAGCACGGTTGGCCTCCTGAGGAAGGGCTGCTGCAAGGACTGACAGAACTCCCACTTCATATTAACCGGGACCCTCGTGCAGAGCCTTCAGGTTTATTTTACTGTAACTTCTGTGGAGGCTGAACTGGGAGAAGGATCAGGCTCATGATGCTCACACAGAGCGGTCCTGAATTCTCTCTTCTGCCCCCAGCAGAAGGCGTTAGCTTAAACGCCTGCCTCTTACTGAACGTCGTGTTTCAGAAATGTGTGTTTTCCTGCAGAAGAACAACGTTGCGTACGCGATATACAACGATGAGGTCCCTGAATCAGACTCCGACGGGTGGAAAAGAGGACACACCAAAGGTAGGGGGAAGAGGCCCAAGCTGCTCTTTTCTCCTTTCTGGAGTTGTGGATGGCATCTGCTCATCTGTGTGTCTATCTGCATACCTAGAATTCCTGCCCAAAGCAAAACTGGAGCATGATTTGCCTGATGTGAGGTTTGTTGTATAGTTATAGATGCTGCAGCTTCTGGTTTGGTTTTGCTACGCCTGTGCTGGGTTGAAGAACTTCTTGGAGCTTATGGACCCTCTGTTTCCCAGAGTTGAAACTCCTGTAGCTCCCTTCAGCGAGTACAGACCACATCGTCCTGAGCCTCATGGCAACAGCAGGACAAGAGGTGAAGGGAAAGGCACCCCCTAAACACAAACCCCTCCAAACTCTCTCTCTCTGGGGCAAGAAACAGCTGCTAAGATCATGGAAGCGCTAACGTATGCCGTTAAAGTAAAGCGAGACTTTAAATAGGCGGAAACCTCAGCGGAGGTCTGAGTGTTCCCTTGGGGGAGCAGGTGGGGTTCGCCCGGCCACTGCTGGGCACTGCTCCCCGGAGCACCCTGCTGCGGGGGGAGACGTGGCCCCGCTCTGCTGCTTCCCCGGGGAGGAGAGCTTGCTCTGGGGAGAAGACATGGCATTGATGGAGCCCGTTTCCCCTCACGCAGTGACTATATGAAGGGAAGGACAATGAGCAGTGGAGAGAGGGTCTCAGCCACTAAATCACGAGGCTTTTTGAAGACAAGATTTGAGCAGAGAAAGGTTTAGAAAAGATAATTTTTTCAAAAGAAACACAGTGACAGTTTGAGGTAGGCTACTCAGGAGAGAATTACTGCCATTTTAATACAACATTGGTGTCTCCCATAATCCATGAATCCACTCCAGAGCCAGTTTGCTGTCGACACTAACACATTGAAGTGTGGTGTCTGCAGCAGCAAACCCAAAGTAGGACACGGCTCTATCATCTCGGGGCTTTTTCCTCCTTAATTCATTTGCAATAACTTTTTTTTTTGAGACAGGGTTTCTGCTCTTGGACAAATCGCAAGGCTTCTGGGTGATTCACAGCGTGCCCCTGTTCCCTCCCATCCCTGAGGATGGTTATGGGTATCCAGCTACCGGGGAGTCCTACGGACAGACGGCCATCTGTATAACCTTCAAATATGACCAGTTCACAGAAATAGGTATGAGAAGCTTCTCCCTAAGAAAGCCTTTGCCCCACCGCCCCTCTCTGACTGCTTTCCTTCAGGCTTTGCCTCAAAAATTGCTTGTTCTTGTCCTTCATTGTCAGGTTGGGGCCTGGAAACAACGTTCTTGGCTTCAGTTGTGTTTACCCAACAGTTTCCTGCGTGAATGTGGGAAATTCACTCTTCTGCTCTCTCCATCTCCCCATGGGGACTACTGGGATAATAATAGTCACGAGTCCATATCGAGGGTAAACTCGGCCCATGCGCACAAAATGCTTTGGAAATATAAAGCAGGATGACTAATTATTTTTAACACTAATAGCTCGTTCAGCTGCAATCATCTGCAGCTCTAAAGATGTAAAAGGCAACCACTGCTTGAGCTGGAGTAGTAGCCTTGACTCAGCAGAAATACAAAGTATGGTATAAATACCAGCCAGAATTTCCCCAGGTACTTTTTGCCACATAAAATACCCATACTAAAAATAAACCCACCCCAAATCTACCCCTGTAAGATTAGGAACAATCTGACAGTGATACCTGGTACTGGAATTCTGAAACGGGGCTATTGAAAGGTGTCACAAGAAGTCATACTGGCACGCTCCTTAACGCTTTGCACACTGGTTTTCACTCTTTTCTTGGTTACAAACCTCAAATGATATTAATGAAACACACACGCTGTGCAAATGGCCAGGCTGGCCACCCCCCAGAGCTCTCTAAACCCGGTTCCTGTTTGTGGAAGCGCATCTATCCATGGGTTTAGGGAAAAAGGGCAAGAAAATGAGACACATACACTCATGCTTTTCCTGCTCCATCCTCCCAGCTTCTGGTAAGCTGCGGTTCAGGGACTTCCTGAGCCGGAAAGACTGGAAAGTTCCTGATGGACTGGTCTTCCATGAGCTCAACTAATGACCCCATTTGCTCCCTTGCTCTTTACGATAGCCAGGGCAAGGACTTCTCCAGTTAAGCTGCGCACCGTACAGAAAAGTCAACTTCTCCTGCAGATTCAGCCCAGACTCTGAAAGTCAAGCTCTGTTCTCCCTAAAACCAGCCTAGACCCTTTGGCAGCTCCTCTGTTTGCATTTGGCTTGGCAACTGTAACTAGACTGGAAACTATCCCTGTAACTAGGGCCAGGCTGGGATTTCCACACGCCGCCTGAGCGCTGTGTGACTGCTCGGAGGCTTGACGACGAGCACGGGTGGAAGTGGCGGTGGACCGACACCACCGGTTCACAGTGCTGCTAAGAATCACCAGGTGTAATTGGAAGAACCGGAGCGTGCTCCCCCAGCCGGTCTACGCGCCGCACGGCCAGTCGGAATTAAACACGGTTTTGGGTGATAAGATACTTTGACACTGAACTCCTGCAGGAGACTGTGAAGATTAAGAAGGATTTCGGTTTCCTTTCCCAGGCAGAACTTTACTCTCTTGATTGCTTCGCTTTAACCCATTTTAATTCTGCACGTCTTCGTTTCTTTGGGCTTTTCTCAGACCAACAGATGCTGAGCTATAATCCAGGGGTCTACAGCTGTTCCATCCCCACCGTCTTCCAAGCTGATCTCCCGAATTTGCAGAAGCTCTGTGCAGGGTCCAGGCTGCCCTCGGCCCCCTTGCACCACCTCTCCAAGCTCCAGTCAGCTCACGGGGAAACCTTTCTCCACTTTGCCAAGTCACACTTGTTCATAGATGGTAAGAGAACGTGTTGCTCTATCCATCACACATCCTCAGGCAAGAAATAAGCAATTAATATTTTCTTTAACAATTAGTACTTTCTTTGAGGGGAAAAAAAGAAGTTCAGCTTCAGAAATAAATGTAGCAGAGGGCAAGGAATGGTGTCCTGTCATAACATTCTCTCAGCCCCACAAAGGAAAAAGCTGTCTGGTCCTTCCAATGCCTTAAGGTGTTCAACAATGGGATTTTCAGAGACTTTATTTCATCTTATTCAACAGTCACCACAAAGAACAAAAATAGGGGTTGACTCATCTGCTTTTTTTTTGTTATGAAGAATGTTTGAATTTTTTTTCCCCCCTTTCCTTTTTTCCCTGCTGACTGTTTGTAACAGGTTTTCCAAGAGAAGGAGGAAAAGTAGAAATGAACTGAAACAAAAGTCAAAATACAGGCAGAGGGCAAAACTCCCCCTGGCTCACTTTATGCGTGGAACGAAACGAGCCCAGTTTAGGTGATGCTTTTCAGTCCCCTCTTAAATGAAGGAACAGGAAAGACTAATTTTCCACACCCTCTGTTATTCCACAGATATCTACGTGGCCTGGATGGCTCAGGAACTGAGGACCGATTTGTTGGCTGAATCCTGGCAGCATTCCGGCCAAAAACTTCCCTCCAATTGCTCTCTCGACTACCACGTCTACAACATAAACCTGATCGGGATGCCGTTGAATTCCACCTTCTACTCCATCAACGACCATTCCAAATGGGCTGTCTCAAGGGAGACCAAAGACCAGTGGACCTGCATCGGAGACTTAAACCGCGCTGCCGAGCAAGCTTGGAGAAGCGGCGGGTTCGTTTGTACCCAGAATGAACACATCTACGGAGCCTTCAGGCACTTGATAATCCACTACGAAAGCTGCGCTGATGCTTCCACACTGATGTAACGAATGGTTCCTCCCAACGGCACAGCCCCTCGTTATATAGAAGGTGTAGGAAACGTCTCCCTTAAACTACATGAACTCTGAAAAAGGGCCCTGCGGGGTGTGTCAGACCTTCACCTCGCCAGCCACGAGAGCAGGAGGTTCGCAGGTAAACGATGACTGGTTTTTCTCGGGGTGCAGGACCTGCGGGTGCTCTGCTCTCTCCCCGGCTCCTCTCGCCGTCAGTGCCGGGCCGGCGCGGCGCACGGCTGCACCGAAGCACAGTGAGCAACCGCGCGTGGTCATCCCCGGGGGAGCTCGTGGGTGGCGCTGGACACGGGCTGGGAGGAACAACAGAAACCCGTCTCGTTAGCCAGGCTGTTGGGGCTGGGCTGTTGGCAAGAGAGAAGTACCCCAAAATGCTTCAAAACCGCCCCGTCTTCCAGGCGCTGTCGAGATCAATCGCAGCATTTCTGCTCAGTTTGGGCTGAATCTCTTAAAAAGCTGACGTAATTGGATACAGACAGGGAGACGAGTAGATTTGTGGACAGGAAGGCTTCATTTTTACGTGATTGATTTTTAGAGAAGAAATGAGCTTTAAATCATTTGTAACCAATAGCTTGGGAGTATTTCTAGTGCTTTTATTTGTGTAGAGCAATCATAAACAAATAAAAACATAAAAATATGAATAAGCAAAATAAATTGAGCGATAATGGTCTGTTTACAGTCTCCCTCTTCCATCTCTATAGTTATTTGTTGGTTACAATGTTTTATAGCTGCCAAAGGAAAAATGGAGACAATCAGGAAAAAATTTACGAAGAAAAGAGAAGAAAATATTGGAAGGAAGATGTTACTTCACTTGCACCTTCGCACTACAACAAACGTGGCTGTTAATTTTTAGTGCCTCCAGTTTCGGGCCTAGGACCTGAAGTTTGCATGGACTTGCCATAAAGACAAAGCTACTTGAAAATCCTGATACACTCCTGGGTTCAGATTTCAAGTGTATCTGTATTTAATATGTTCCTAAACTTATTTACAGGGTTATATCTCACTTGTATTTTTTTCCCCTGCATTGCTAATATAAACTCCAGTCCAAAGAACCGTCTGTCCCACTAATATTTCTGTTTTGCTGTGCACACAGTCCACACCGCTCCACAGCAGAGTCTTAAAAGGAAGCAGCTATAAAGAAATGCCCCACGCAAAGTTTTCGCAGATTTCCTTCCCCTTTTTCACCCCAAAAATCAACCAAACAACAAAGCGTATGAATTACCAAATGAATGAATTTCAGAAAACATTTGTGCATGCTTCTTGGTAAAAATCATGCATCTGGCCTGCTTGATGGGGGGAATTGTGCAGGAATAGGCCTCATATTTCATTGAAGGCAAACTCGAGTCTCGTAGCTCAGTGGGAATAATGTAGATAGCTTTGATGTTCTGCATGGAATAGATCTTTTTCCTTTCCTAAATAACATTTGATAATTTACTCGATAATGTTTTTTTTCTCTGAGGCTTGTCCAGTTGTTTTACATATATCCTTTTCGTGGTGTTACTAGCTGTGGTCAAGCAACACCTACTTGTGTCAGTGAAAATTGCCCATGACACAGAACGCTGAGCAGTGGGATGGTGGGGCATCGCTCAGATAGGCCAAGATAAAATTCCCTTCTCTTGCCCACCTTTTCGTGGCAGACACTAACCTACCCTACCTGTCTGGACTCTTACATCTTGCCCAGAGCTTTGCATGCCCATGACCTCAGCGGGCAGGAACGGTGAGAACTCCTTTGCTGGAGACCGTGCTGGTGAGGTTCCCCGTGGTGCAGCAGAGGGCACCCGGACCTAGGACACAACCGGGATTTCTTACGGCAGGTGCTCAGCCACAGCAGTCGGGTCACACAGGGCCATGGCAAAGAGTCTCCAGCCGCCGGCTGGCACAACAGCGTTGCTCAGCTCCCCGGGCCAGAAGTCAACAGCCCATCGCTTGACTTCAAGCGCTGATTGCTATTCTTAATTATTTGAGCAATTGATAGCTGCCATAAAGCTTCATAAAACTACTTGCAACATTCCTCTTTCATTATACCCAAGACTGGCAGTCTCCATTTTAGCTGTCACCAGGGAGGCATAAACAGCAGTGGGAGGTTGGAGAGAAACAGTTGTCCCATACAACACGACGAGCGCCCAAACAGCCGGGTTGCGCGCACACTCATTTCAGTGGTGTGGCAATAAAAAGGCTGCAGTTCTGGTTCTCTCATTTTTTGACTGTAAACAGCTTTAATTCAGTTTTGCTTTTGTTGTGTAACTTCCATGTTTGCATATCCTGGTATTTCTGCTACACGCATTATGAAACACGGGCAGACTCTTTGTTTCCCAAAAGAGACTGATGATCAACAAGATAAACCATGCAGATTTCTAAAGGGTTTGTAACTCTCAGGCTTCCTGTGCAAAGGCAAGACCATACGCCACTTACTCAACCTCATATGCCCTCACAGCGTGCCCTGCGATCCATCGTTGGTGTGAAACATTTATTTTTGCGTATTTTATATACATATGCAGGGAGTTTTTCATTTCAAAATGTGCTGTTCTTCTTTTTCCAAGTCCCAAACGCTCCACAAACAGCTGCCTGTCCCAGTGACTCTGCGCTGCCCTTGCTGCCCTCTGCGACCCTTTCGACTGGACAGACCCTCTCCTGCGGCAGGGGACACCTGGCTCTGCCCCCTCTGCGATTTCAGGGGGATCCTGCCCAGCAAAGCTGATCCTGCAAAAGGACAGAAGTCTTGGACCCCGGCATGGAGAGGGGAGAAACTGGTCTGTCATCTGGAAACCCCCCCAGTCTCTTCTCCTCAGCGTGCAGCTGTGGCTATTCTGACCCTTGGGCTCTGTTCTAGTTAGACTAAATGAGAATGTTTATTATACATGAAAATTGTTTGCCGAGGGAGTAGGAGAGGCCAAAAGCAGACATTATTAATCCACTAACCAGCGCTGTACTGCAGCCAAGTTTGTAACAAACACAATAGTGGGGATTGTTGTTTGGTATAAATTGCCTTGTAATCAGCTCCACAAGCCGAGACTGGGTCCCAGCACGCCTGACGAGCTTGCAAGGGGCCGGCAACGCGCGTACAGCCTCGCAAAATGTGCGCCTGCCGCTTGCTCGCCCACCAGCACGTCTCCTGCCCTCACCACGGCCGCTGCCATCCCAGAGCAAGGGCAGCAGTCTGCCTCCCTGTCACTGCTCCAAAAGAAAAAAACAAAACCAAAATCCTGATGATTTTTCTGTAAACTATATCCCTGAGGATGCTTCTATAACACCGGTAAGTGTGGATCGTTAGGGCAGTGGTTTGCTGCGTTGGCAGGGTGCAATTTTATACACACTTAATGCAAGAAGTCAAAGGATTAGACATCAGCCTCACTAGAAGAAAAGCTAAAAAAAAATGTTAAAAATCAAAGGCACAACAACTGAAACTGTAAGTTTAACTCCAGCTGGGCCATTACAACAGCGGAAAAGAGGCGCAGGCACTGCAGCCTGAGCCTGCTTCGCAGGGCAGCCTTTACGGTGAGCTGGCTTCTGGTGTCTCCACAACAACTGAAAATATACTGAGCCCTCGTGACGGGAGCGATGAGCAAGTACTGGAGGATTTCCCAAGGACACCTGGGGCTCCATGCCAGCTGTCTGCCAGCAAGTCAAGGGAAGCTTTGGGAGAAAGTTCTCTGATGGAGCTGGGAACCTTCCCTTCTCCGAGGTACGCTACCTCAGCCTGGCGCCCGCGCTCCTCCGCCGGCGCCACAGCAAAGTCTGCGTCCAAGCAGACCGCGCTTCTTTCAAAGAACCAAAGTCCTGCAAGGCCCAGGAGGGTTTGAGCGTTTCGGTGTCGGTGCTGCCCATTCTCCCAGCTATCCTTGCAAACCACACGCTCTGCTCCCCTCTCAGCACGCTTTGGGTAGTATTCTGCTCTCAAAACGGGGAGTTGGCAGTAAACACATCTAACCTAAGCACCTGTGTCAAACCAGGTGCCTGCAGCGTGAAGGGAGAGGGTTATTTTTGTGAAGGCATGCAGGCCTCTCTCATCCCTCCCTCCTGTTTAAATATATCCACTCCTGACAGTAAGGAAATGCTCGAGAACGTCATGAGAATTTGGTTTAATGTATCAAAGCATCCTTGGCATTATTAGCATAGTCACGTAATTATCCCCAGAGAAACTTACACCCATACGTTAACGCCCATAAACTATTGTGTGGCCCTCTTTTATACCTTTATTTTCAGTTTCTGGGAAAGATACCTCACTGGGTGCTTACTATAGTAATTGCTTCAGAACGTGTAAACTGCCCATGCCCTGGGTAAAACACTCGGGAGAGTGGTGCTGGCAGTGTCTTCTGAAAGCTCGGCGTAAGCCAAAGCCTAACTGTGCTCTGAATGTGATGCAAGAAGATGATGCGCCTCTTCAGTTTCACAAGAGAGTTCTTAAAAAGACAGGAATTTAAAAACGAGAATGGAGATGAGTAGAAATTGATGTTAGTGTGGAAAAAAAAAACCTCGTAGCAGGGAATAAATGCCTCATAGCGCAAGGCAGAGAGCCTGACCTGAGATTTCAAGCTAGGCTAGCCACACGGGTGTTTGCTGCTATCCTGAGTGGCTTGGCCATCGCTGACGCTTCCCTGTTTAGATTGGGGATACCCCATTACAGGCCTCATCTGCTGAATTTTCTCGTAATCCTTATGAACTCGGCATGAATGCGGTAAAAGAAGCTGCCTACGAACTCAGCAATCAGTTGTAGCACTTTCAGATCTTGGCCTCAGACAGGAGCCAGCTCATAACAGAAGGTTTTAATGGAGGCCCGTTGTATGCTTATCTTTATGGGTTTTAACTGATTTATCCCCGTATTAAGAGTACGCTCTTCTATGCATATTTGATACGTGCATGTCACTCAAACTGTTAAAACATTAGGACTTGAAAAAATACATCTTGCTTTTTTATAAAGAGCTGTGTCACACTTTTGCTCAAGTGGTTTTAGTAAATCCTCTTGATTTTATTTTTTT